GGGGACCGCATCCCAGGGATCACATGCCAGGGATTACATCCCAGAGACCGCATCCCAGCTACCGCATCCCGGGCATCGCATCCTGGGGACTGCATTCTAGGGATCCCATCCCATGGATCACATCCCAGGGACTGCATCCGAGGGATCACATCCCAAGGACAGCATCCAAGGGATCGCATCCCACTGATCGCATCCCAGGGACCACATCCCGAGGACAACATCTCGGGGACCGCATCCAAGGGATCACATCCCAGGGACCACATCCTGAGGACAGCATCCCAGGGACCGCATCCGAAGGATCGCGTCCCAAGGACAACGTCTCGGGGACTGCATCCCGGGGACTGCATCCGAGGGATCGCATCCTGGGGACGGCATCCCAGTAGTCGCATCCCTGTGGACTGCATCCCAGCAATGGCAACCCAGGGACCGCATCCTTGCGGACCACATCCCGGGAGGACGGCACCCCGAGGACCGTGTCCTCGCGGGCTGCGTCCCGGAGACGGCACCCGTTGAGCCTTCCTCCGCGCTCGGAGGGACGGAGCGGCTCCCGCAGGGCCGTTTTTCGGGGAGGGACGGAGCGCCTCCGGCAGTGCCGCTGCTCCTCCCCTTGGGGCCCCGTTCCCAGCCGTCCCGTTTCCGACCGGGACTCCGCGGCCCTGGGCCGCGTGCGAGGGACGGTGGCATCGCCTGCTCCGGCCGCTCTCGAGACTGGTTTTGCAGGACAGGGCCACGTCACACTGGGCCAAGCCCCAGGGAGGGCAGCGCAACGATCAGCCCGAAGGAAAGACGCCCGGACGCCCGGGCAGGGCGCTGCACATCTGGCCTGGCCCCATCCAGCTGTTCTCCCAGCCCGGCGCATCCCGAGGGCAGAGCGGTGCGTTTCCCGCGGAGCCGCTCGGCGGTGGCGACCGAGGAGAAACTGCCTGGGAGCACCCAGAGCCGCAGCACGATGGCACCGGGGACAGGGGCGCAATGGGGACGAGAGCGAGACGGCACTGGGCACGGGAGCGCGATGGCCCTGGGGACGGGAATGCAATGGCACTGGGGGTGGGAACACGATGCATGCACTGGGGATGGGAGCGCGATGGCACTGGGGCGGCGGTGGCGACCGAGGAGAAACTGCCTGGGAGCACCCAGAGCCGCAGCACGATGGCACCGGGGACAGGGGCGCAATGGGGACGAGAGCGAGACGGCACTGGGCACGGGAGCGCGATGGCCCTGGGGACGGGAATGCAATGGCACTGGGGGTGGGAACACGATGCATGCACTGGGGATGGGAGCGCGATGGCACTGGGGACGGGAACGCGATGGGGATGGGGATGGGAACCTGATGGGGATGGGAGCGGGACGGCAATGGGGACAGGAATGCGATGGCACTGGGGACGGGAACGCGATGGGGATGGGGATGGGAACCTGATGGGGATGGGAGCGGGACGGCAATGGGGACAGGAATGCGATGGCACTGGGGACGGGAACACGATGATGATAGGGACGGGAACGCGATGGTCCTGGGGACAGGAACGCGATGACCCTGGGGACGGGAACGCAATGGCATTGGGGACGGGAATGCAATGGCATTGGGGATTGGGAACACAATGGCGATGGAGATGGGAGTGGGACGGCAGTGGGGACAGGAATGTGATGGCACGGGACATGGGAGCGCGATGGGGATGGGGATGGGAGCGCAACGGCACTGGGGATGGGAACGCGATGGCGATGGGGACGGGAACACGATGGCACTGAGGACGGAAACATGATGACAATGGGGATAGGAGCGTGGTGGAGACGGGAGCACGACGGCAATGGGGACAGCAGCGGGACAGGAACGAGAGCGTGATGGCAATGGGGACGGGAGCATGACGGGGATGGGGATGGAAGCGGGACAGGAATGGGAGCGTGATGGCAATAGGGACGGGGACAGGAGCACAACGGCGAAGGGGACCGCGATGGCAACGAGGACGGGAGCGCGATGCGATTCCCATCGCAAACCCAGGGGAAACGGCTGACGCCCGAACCCCGC